GGGAAACCAGATCACAGTGACCAGACCACCAGAAGCCACTGCAAGGCAAACTCTAATCCAATTATCTAGGAGAATCTCCACACCTGGGACGGCCTGTTTCTCAAGATGCTTTCTTTGGTTAAAAGTAGCAAACTAGAAATGAAGAGCTTGGGGGTGTAGTGCTAAATTGTATGTTTAGAGCATGCAAAGCTGTAGGGTTTGTTTAACAGTACCTCAAAACAAAACAACTAAAGACAACCGAAGAAATAGAAAACAACAACAAAAACCTGCGGCCTCAGTGTGGCCTCCAAAGCCAGGCCTGAATGGAGCTCACCTATCCAATTTCTCTGCTTGCATTTTCTTACAGCGTCTGTCTGTCTGACACCTCACCCACTGGTTCCCTTGCTTTCTGCTCTGCACTCGCAACTCGGACTGTCATAACCATGTTGTTCCCAGCGCTTCTGAAGGGTGCTTCTAAATCAGCAAGAGCTCCAGTCAGACTCTGGCCTTCCTATCTGCCTTGGCTCAAACCTGAACTCCCTCCAAAGGTTCCTGTTCATGTCACATTGAATGGCTAACTGCCAGTGGTGACATTGTCCAGAGAAATGGTGTCTAGCTAAAGGAAATGTGTAACTGGGGTTAGACCCTTAGGGCATCTTACTTTGGCCCCTTTCCTGTCTTGTCTGTGCCTGTTCTCCATGACATAAACCTCTCTCCTCTACCACATGTTCCTGCCACCATGATGGTCTGTCTAAGATTGGGGACCAAGAAACACAGACTGAACCCTCTAAAACCATGAGCCAAAATAAATCATCCCTGCTTTAAATTATTTATGTTAAGGTTTTGGTCACAGAGATGAGAAAAACTACCACCTGCCAGTATGCATCCTGAGACAGACAGCTTAACTTCCTCAGCCTCAATTCCCCAGCCTGGAAGATGGAGCTGAGGTCTGCCTGCTAGGGGCTCCATGTGGATTGGGATCATCTCTAGGAATGCTTAGACACCATCAAGTTCCCCTCTGCCTGCTCTCTAGAGTTAAGGCTGTGGTTTTCTCCCCCAAGGACATCCACTCTCACTTCATTCCTTGTCTACAACGCAGTGATGAGCAGTCCTTACCTCCATGAGTTCTAAAGGATCCTGGCAAAGATCCAGTGGGGCATGAAGCATCCCCTCCATATTTCTGCCTTATTGATTTCACATAGGACCTGAAATCTCCATTGCTCTTCTACACTCCCAAAATACCAACCCTGTAGCACTCTAAGATGATGACTACTGAGGAAGGGATGCTGACTTGGGATTCGTAGAGCCACAGCAGGACCAGCCTCTGAGTTCAGCATGTCTGTGGTCCTCAGAGCCCTGCCACCAACTTCCAGAACAGCACTGCCAGCTGGTGGCCAAGTATTCAACGCCTGAGCCTGTGGGGATGGTTTAGAGCCAAACCATTACAAATAGGGAGGCCAGAGTCTGATGGTAATTCTTGCTGATTTTTGAACCTGGTCTTTTAGAAGCACTGGAAATATTGGACAGTTTCTGGCCATAGGGAGCTCAACCTATGGGAGCTGTGAATGAGAAGTGGGGGGATAGAAAGTGAATGCTCTGAGTACCATTTCCTCTGGAGGGCCCTGGCCCTCATTGACCTGACCATGAAGGTCTTCTTGAGGGATGGACTATAGACTTGGGGGCTGTGTCTCCCCCTCTTTAGAGAGGTGCTGTCAGAACACTCCTGTCGTAGTGACACACAAATCAGTAGGTGTGTTTCTGTAGCTTTTCTGTTTTATTTTATTGTATTGGTATAATTTTTGCAGTACTCAGGATTAGACACATGATGCTAGGCAAACTGAGCCATGCTTCCACCCGTTTCTATTGTTTATTTACTTTTTAAAACATAAAATCTTGAGACAAACTTGCTAGGCTGACCTTGAACTCAAGATCCTCCTGCCTCAGCATATTAAGTGTTGGGTTACAGCTGTATACTGCCACAACTAGACTTCTAGCTTTTTATTTTGAAACAGGTTTTCTAAGTTGCCCTGGGTGGCCTGCAACACACTCTGCTGCCAGGTAGGCTGAGGTTGTCTGATGCTCCTGCCTCAGCCTCCTTGGTGACTCCTGGCAGCTAGCTAAACGTCGATTATGCAAAACTCCAAAGTCTCTCGGCTCTGCATCTGCTGTCAAAAATGGGAAAGCTCCTCAATCTGGGAAAGTTATTCTCATCCTAGCTGGATGCAAAGCCTTCCTCCTGAAGAACATTAATGTCCGCATCAGACCACTCTTGTAGTAATTTTCTGGTGGCTGCAATTGATCATCATCTCCTCAGAGTGACAGGCATCATACCATGGGCAAGAAGGAATGGGAAGAGATCAAAGTTCAAGATCTGTGTGTGTGTGTGTGTGTGTGTGTGTGTGTGTGCGTTTAACTACAGTAACCTCATGTCCACAAGGTACTCTGTGGATTTCTCTCTGAACAAAGATATCACGTATATGGATGTTTTCAAAGCCCGAGCTCTGAAATGCAAGGCCAGATGAGAGACCAAGGTCAAGTTTGAGGAGAGATACAAGACGAGCAAGAACAAGTGGTCCTTCCAGAAGCTTCAAGCTTCTGTCATTAAAAAAAAAAAAAAATACAAGATAAAAGAAAAGAGACTTCACAAAGTCAAGAGTCCTTTACTGAGAACTGAAAGTGTGTAAGTGAGGAAATATCCCCTGTACAAAATTCCAGACTCTCAGAAACAGCTCAGGGCCAGTTTAAGGTTCTCTTTCTCTCACTGGCTGTCAGCCCTTCTCAGTACAGGCCCTTGGAGAGCCTGGGAACTGGAGCTGAAATTCAAGAGACTGGGAGAGGGATACCCAGATATCATTTACCTGTTCTCAAGACCTGTCTACTATCGATCCTCAGAGGATAAGAATTTGTTCTTGAAAGTAAAGTTTCAATTTTACTTCCTGGTCACATGACATACATCCTTCAAGTCATCCCAAGGTGTACATTTTCCATCCAGAAATAAAATATTCTCATACCTGCTTATGGGCTACACCATAGACCATATATACCTCAGTTCCCTGACTATGAAACCACAGGCATTTATGAATTTGTTTTATCTTCGTATTAGTTACTGTTGTTGCTCTTTTCCTGTGCCAAATTCAAACTAAATTCACAGGCACATACATGTAGGAAGGGCAGAGTTAGGACCGTATCTCCAGCAGATGACATCCATGATTGTCCTTTTATGTTCCAGGAAGCCCAAAGTTCAGCCCAGTGACTAGCTGCAAAATATGTGCCTTAGTGCTGGGAAACTTGGTGAGCCAAAAACCACTGCCTGTCATACAGTGTGAAAGCTGCTCAAACCAGGGGGTTGGGGAGAGTGTACCTCAGGGAAACCTAAGGACTTCCTTCCTTATCTGTCTGAAGGAAGCAGGGTTGGGGGTATAGGGGGCACTCAGTCAGGAAGTTCATTTTTGTTCTCTTCCATATCCCATCCCAAAGGAAGTCAAAGGGGAAGTGCCCAGCATGGCAGCTGTGCTTCCTCTTCCACCTCAAGAAGCACAGAGTATAGAGTGTTTCAGAACAAGCCAACGTACTTGTTCTTTCAACAGCCAGTCCTACCAACTCCTTACCAGAGGCCCTCGGCAGCTATGCTAAACCTGGCCTTCAGATACCATGAGCATCCACACTGCAGAATTCCTACCATCAATGTAGCAGCTGAATGCTGTTAGACTCCGAACTCCCCCATCTGTGTTTTGCCTCCCAAGAGGGAAAATAGTCTTCACAGACATTCCCTTATCTGGCAGGCAGATTCCAAACCTTACTGGCAACCACGGGCTTGTTTTCCCAACCCAGCAGCAAAAGAACCAAAAATTGTTCCCGCCTGCGATATGCCGAGGAGGGACCTAGCCAGAAGCTCCGTCGTCTGCAAGCTCTAGGCTGGAGCTCTTGAGCTGCCCACCCCTCTCCTAGAGGGCACCTCGGGATCGGCAAAGTCACAGGCCTGCCAGGCCGCTGATGGCCCCCACTACTGCTTTCGTTAACCGCTCCTTTTTCTCAACATAGAATACACCCACTAAGAAGCTGCGGGAAAACACTCAGCACGGTGTGAAATCAACACTTTCCGACTCAAATAACGGGGTAGACAAGGGAAAACTTCCAATCTTCTCACTGTAGACATTTTCCTCCCGCAAGAATCACAACAAGGCCTCGATGCCACCACCAGCTTGTCCCCAGCCTCCTGCAAATAGAGGAAGCCACAGACCTGGCCTTTCACAGGTTGCTATTTGCTCGCATATGCCCCGCCCCCCGCACCCCCAGCCCTTCACATTCTTAATCCCGGAACCCTGAACCCAGGCAATTGCTAATAAGCCAATATGGGATGATAAGCGTGGGCGTCTAATTGATAGGCGCCTCTATCGACTGGCCTTGATGTCTATCTGAGCTTCTCAACAGCCAAGATTTAAATGTTTCATTTTATTTTTAACTTTCACTTTCTCCCATTGCAGCAGTGTCAGGCAGAGGTACGGTTTCACTATCAGAAAGAATCGCAGTGCAGAATAATTTATGACTTCAGCTTGGGCTTTCAGAAAAGCCATTTCAAATCTCCACTTTGATTTGGTTGTATCAAAAACTACTCAAAAATAACAGCCGCACTTTTCTTGGAACCAGAAAAACATGAACAGCACCTCAGGATTTTGAGCTGAAGCTTCATCTCTATCCCGGAAGAAAACTCCAGAAAGGAATTAAGCAACCGAGTGGAAAACACAACATCAGGGCGAAGCACGATGAGAAAATAGAACATTGTTCTTCTGTATCCTTTTGTTTTAAACCGACACTGCCCCAACCACAAAGAAATGCTGGTCCCCAGGAGCCACAGCTCATGGTTTTACTGGGTGGGTGCAGGTGCTTCCACTGATAGCCAGGAGACACTTGTCTGGGGTGCAGAGTACATGGTTGGAATTGGATTTGTGTGAGCTCAACAGGACAAACAGGAAGAAGCGACGGAGTGTCCAGGCAGACAGCCCTAGTAGGGTGAGACTTACCTTAACACCCTCACTGCATGCTTGACTTAAGGACTGTCAGTCTAGTAAGAATATGTCCTCAGAAAAGATGCTCTGGATGCTCAGAGATGGCCAGAGGGGTGGGTCACAGCTCCCTGTCATGAAAAAGAAAATAGAGAAAGAAACCATGTAAAGCAAAATGTAACAAATTCAGAAAATCACAGCCATACTTGGAGGTCAAGGAAACTCAGCTGCAAAGGTTAAAGATGAAATCAAATCCAGAGTATGAGAATGGAAATCTATCCCCATGCAAGGCCACCGGTGATGTGCCGTAGACAAGAAGCTAAATACTGCCTAGCACTGGGATCCTTTATTTCCATCAGATCAATAAGAGCTTATATTTATCAGGATTCCAAACAGCTGCCACTTCTGACAGCCTCCACTTTATTTTCTCACTCCTTGCGCTGTATCGGGGAAAAGAGGACCCGAGAAGCAGCTTTTAGTGCTATTTACACCTGAAGACACAATTCCATTAAGAGGACCTGTTTTGTTAAAGAAACAGGGATTGATATGATTATATTGGCAGGAACGAACGGGAAGTGCCTTTGTTCTTCTCCCCAGGTCTTCCCCTTTGCAAGCCAGACCCTGTGAGGAGAACGTCTGATGTGAAGTCTGTGTACAGGCACCTCTATCTCCTTGTTGTTGTTCAAACTTGCCATTTGTAGAGGGGGGAAGGACTCTGCTAAAATGGTTACCCCTCTAATCATCTGTACGGCAATATTTGCTATCAGGCATTCTAAATAGATTATCAGCAGTCCATCTGTGTCATTATTGATTTATAAGGCTTTAAGCAGCTTTAGAATGGAAGCTTTCCCACCGAGGGGCTCCTTGTATAAATCAGAGCCTTGCTCAAATATAGCAGCCATCATTCAAGATATTGTTCTTCAAATCATAACAAGAAGGAGAAAATGATAAATTGCTTGTAATATACTGATCCAAACTGATATGCAAATCTTGTTTTTAAAATATATTACTTGAGTAAAAAGAGGCATCATTAACATATGAATGCTATATGCAAATGATCGTGACAGAGCAGATGTTGGCGCATGTAATTGACCTATATGTGAATTGCATCAGAACCCTTAACTCTATTAATTCACTACCCAGTAACTAGATATTGTCCAAAAAGTACATTCTTTGAAACCATATACTGGAAGCAAAGCTGACAGGGTTCCAAGGATTCAGAAACAAGGTCACTGTCAGTAGTATTTTGCTGTCATCTGCATTCCCCTTCTTATGGATGACATCATCATGTGGCCGTGTAAATCGATCACTTAATAGCATTTAGGAAATACTGCAGTGGGAAACAGGTTATAAAAAAAAATGCCCCAGTTTTATTCTTTTTCTTGGCAGAAATGTCATACCTCTTAAACTGAGGGTTTGTGCATGAGTGCCCTGTGAAACTCACAGATGCCATTTTATTCCCCGTCTTTATTTTTCCACTTCTTCTCAGAATGACATTAAATTGTATTAAATAGCCTTTTGTCCACAGGGCACAGACCACCCCGCATATGATAATGCATTAATGCCCCACGTTCCAGCCACTGAGCTGAAACATTCTCAGACTTAGAGGATAAGTATGAAGCGCCATTGTGTGTATAGCCTGCTAACAACTGTGACACATACTAATAGAAACATACCTAATAAATTACTGCTTTCAGGTCTAGCAAGCTGACATTTCTCTGCAAGGGACAATTTTATATTTGTGGCACAGAACAAAATTGCTTCATATGAAGCCACTGTGGATTAGCATAAAAATTAACACTTAAATTTCAGCTTATTTTCCACCCTCTCCTCCTGCCACAACAATCAATTCCTCTTATAAATCTGATTAGATTTTATGATGCTTATTATTCCAAGCATGCCTCAACACAGCATTCACGGGCTTGAAGACTATTTGTTTAAATAGAAAAAAGAAGCAGATAAATCTATAGGTATTTTTTATTACCCCTTTCCCCACCAGTTTCTTTCTTATATTGTAACATCAGCAATTGATTGCACACATTAATTAACATGTAAGGTAGAAATTCTGCATTATGTGTGATTTATTTTCCTATCTGGTGAGTAGGTTTGTGTGTTGCCCTTGTATTTCTAGGACATTGGGCTCGATTCTGGTCCAGACATGAATGTCAATGCTCACTCCCCCGAAAGTTATTAATGTCAGATATGAAATGAGATTTTTGATTTCACCTGCTTACTAATCCACAAAAGCTGTTTTGAGTGATGTAGGCTTAAACGCTCAAATTTGAAATGATATATTGCTATATCTGATAACATGCAAATATGTTCATTAGACATAATTTAGCAGGAGAGAATAGCAACACTTTCAAAACAAGCCGAGGTCAAAAATGGTTGTTAATTAAACAAGTCTTGAAAAATGGCATTGCCGGGGATACTGTCCGGCAGACACCAGGCTTGCCAGGGATATGCCACAGATAAGTATCCAAGACTCTGCTTCTACACAGACAGGGGGTGGGGACACTTCTGACTGTCTCACCTAACCTAAAGGAAGACTCACACAAAGACCCTTGAGTTAATCAGGCACGATGCTACTTGGAGTTTAATGGTAACATGCTATACTCACCCATCTGAAGATGCGATTTCACTTTCTGTCTTAGTGGCTTCCAGTGATTTATATGGTTGACTCTTTCACAGACAAACCAGGAAAGAAATTAATATTATATCCGGCCATACTGCTAGTTGTCCTGAGTGTTTATGGGCTGTGTATTTTAAACTGAACGTCTAGAGTTACGGGCAAAACCATGCATGGATGTTGAGGGCAGGGATGGGGGCTGAGGAGGATAGAGCACTATACATGTGCCTGTGATTTCTTCCTTCTCCTCTGATCCTTCTCAAGCATGTGCACTAGTCACCTGGGGAATGAGCGTGTGGTTAGAATTCTTCCTGTTGGTCATGAGTTGAGATTCAAGGTGGTTGAGGTTCTAATACAGAAGTAAACATGCCATCTATACTTGCCTTCTTGGATACCTGAGTATCTTCAGAGAAGAAGGCACCATGGGGGTCAATTACAATCTAAGGGGAGTAGCAGTGTTTTCCCACTGAGCACCCACAGCCTATATATAGGGAGGAACAATGCTCACAGAATGGTTAAGGACAAGAACATCATCTGCAACCAACCTGTCCCTCATGCCGCTTGTGAAAATCATTCACTGGTTTGTGTAAGTTTTATCCAAAGAATCCTGGAGGGCCTCTCTGGAGGCAGAAAGGCTCATGAGTGCAATGGAGTCACATACACACACACACACACACACACACACACAGCCAGGAAAGTTCATGCGAGATGAACTATTGAATCTGAATTGGCCTCTATAGATTGCTGTTCTGAGTGCTTGGTCCCCAGCTGGTGGTGGCACCGTTTTGGAAAGCTATGTGAGGAGCCCTAAGGAGGCAGAACCTAGCTAATGGCCAGCCACTGTTGGCATGTAGAGGGGGTGGGGGGTTAAAGGTTAAATGGCCTCTGGCTCCTGCCGTGCTTCCTCTGCTGGTTGGTCTGCCATGATGTGAGAAGCCTTTGTACCTGCTGCCACTGCCATGGACTGGTCTGCCCATCAAGCCTTGTTTGCATGGTAGATTGAACCCCTCTGAAACCATGAGCCAAAAATAAATCACTTCTCTTTTAAGTTGTTTCTCTTAATCACCCATGATGCAAAAGGAATGGATACAGTGGCAACTCAGCACTTGACACAGATCTCTCTAGCCCTCATCCAAGTCGTGAAGCTATCCCAAGTCCAAGCCTAAAAGACTTCCTCATTCTAAGCCTGCCTGGAACTCATTATTGCTATCACTAGAAGTTTAATCTCACCTTTAGGTTGTGTTTTACCGTCCTTGAGCTTTCAAATGCGTATCTCACCTAGGGAAAGAGGCACAGGGGGGTGGGCATTCCTTTGTGTGACTTTGTGAACTGGACAAGGGGACTTCAATAAACGACTGAGCTTGATTTTTATATCACAATAGATGAATTTAACTTTTACCTGTCACAGACCAAAAGCCATCTCTCAAGTCTTGGCACTATTCAACTTCATGTGCCTCCACACCCAGCATCTACCCGATTTAAGTATGACACAACTCCAGAGACTGTAAGCCATTTCAACATGGATTATTCATTAAGTGAACGAGTGAATGTGTTAAAGAACAGCCACCACATTGCACATGTGATTAAGGATGTAAGTAAATGAACATCTCAAGTCACGTATGAATGAATAGAGAGAGAACCCGGGTGATAACCGAAGGAATCAAATTAGTAAGTGTATGAATCAATGAGTAAAATACATATACAAATAAGGAATGATTTGTGGATGGATGATGGAAGATCAGTGAACCAACAGGGATTCTTTTGCTACTTTTAGTTATGGTGCTGGGGATTGAACCCTAGAACTTGTACATGCTAGGCAAGTGCTCTACAACTGAGACTCTTATCAATGGATGCCTAATCAATAAATATATACATGAATGCCTCTATCAGGTCCACCCAAAGAGTTGATGTGAGACACATTAGAAAACATGGCAAATATAGGCCCCTGCTTGAGTTCCTGTCCAATTGAGTTTCACCCAATAGGAGTCTCTATAGACCCTGATAGAATCAGGAAGAAAAAAAAATAGCCTATCCATCTAAGCCTCCCAGAGCATGCCCTGAATGATGAATCACCTGGCCCAGTATATTCCCAGAAAATCCTGCTGGATACTAGAAGGGCATCTTCCTGAGTAGGAGGAGCCATGGCATGGGAGCACTGATCTCAGCACACAACATACAAGCTCCAGCAGGAATACTACCAGTCTCAAAAACACTCTGCATCTCTACCAGTAGAATAGAGACAATAGGGCAGGGGTATCACTGAGAAGTAAAGATGACCAATCAGCATGTAATAGTTTCTGGCTCCAATCTCTAGCATTAAAAAAGTAAATATAGAGTATAGAGAACATATCTAAGAGTTACAGGTTCTGTCTCGACACATAGCAACTGCTCAACTACTGGTCAACATTGGTGGCCCTTGCTGAGTAGTTGTGTCCCAAGGACTTTGGGTCCTTATCCATGTTGAGCTTAGTCCCAGATAGGCATCTATCTCTCTGAAATTCT